CAGCGCCGCCAGCAGCGCCCGCCCGCCCCGCTCCCTCCCTCCCTGCCTCCCTCCCCCGCCGCGGAGCAGCCGGGCCCGGCGCGTGTGCGCGGGGAGGAGGAGGAGGAGGGGGACACAGCGAGGACTGCGCCGGCCGAGGGCGCACGGAGCAGGGAAGCGGCACCGACGAGAGGCGGCGGCGGCTCCTTGTGCCCGGGCAGGAGGGCGCAGCCCGCCGGAGGCTTCTCCCGAGTTTCCTCCCTTTTATACCTTTATTTTTTTATATATTTTTTTCTCCCCCCTCGCTCCCTTGGACTGGGCGGCGGGCTCGCGTTCGTCTCCGGATTTGAATCCTCCTCCTCGCCGCCGCCGTCGCTCGGGGGAGCTCCCCTCCCCGCCCCCTCCCCTCCCCCCGCGCCTCCGCGCCCCGCCGGGCGCCCCGTGCCGCGCTCGCCTCGCTCGGCTCGGCTCGGCTCGGCTCGGCTCGTGCGGCCGCTCGCCGTCTCCGCGCCGCCTTGGAATATGGTTGGGGAAATGGAAGCCAAGGAGAAGCCCAAGCCGAGCCCCGATTACCTGATGCAGCTCATGAACGACAAGAAGCTCATGAGCAGCCTCCCCAACTTCTGCGGGATCTTCAACCACCTCGAGAGGCTGCTGGACGAAGGTAAAGGCGCTTCCCTACCGGCCCCCCCCCGACCCCCCGCGGCCGCGCCTCTCCCCCCGGCCTCGGGCCTCCTGCCCCGCCGGGGCCTGTTCCCCCGGCGGCTCCGCGGCCTCCCGGAGCCCTTCAGACAAAGGGGAAGTGCGGGCGGCCCGGCGGGAGGGCAGGGAGCGCGGAGCGCGCACGTCCCGGCCACTCTCTTTTTTTAATTTTTAATTTTTATTTATTTTTTTTTAAATATTGTATGCATTTTGCGTGTGTTTGTTCTTGTTGTTTTTCTTTCCGCGCTGTCTCCCCAAAGCGGGCGAAGAGCGAGAGGCACATGGAGGGGCGGGCGGGAGCTGAGGAATGTGCTGCGGGCGGGGAGGAGGGGAGCGCGGCTCCCCGCGGGAAGTGCGCGCAGGGGCCCGCGGGGCCTTATAGGGAACGGGCCGGGCCGGGGGGGGGGTTGTTACTCACCCCCCCTTGGTTGGGCTCCTCGGGAGCTACTTGAATGACTAAGAGCGAGGGGGGCCGCGCTCCGCTTCCCGGCGCTCCCCACCCCGAACTGGCCGCAAACTAAATGCGATTTTTCCTGCGTTGCGAGGGGAGCGAGCGAGCGAGTCCTTGTAAAGCAGCTGAGTTCAGTGGGAGAAAAACGGGGGAAAAAAACAAAACAAACAATCAAAAAAAAAAAAAAAAAACCCAGCACGACCCGAAACTGCCTCCTCTGCCGCTGCCGGAGATCCACTGCGGCCGCCGGCCCCGCACCCAGTTCCTGCCGCTCCTGTGGGCGGCGACCCCTGCTTTTTTTTTTTTTTTTTTCTTTTTTTTTTTTCTATTTCTTTTTTTTTTCTCTTTTTTTTTTTTTTTCCCTATTTTTTTTAATAGTTGCCCGTAAGGGTGCGTCTTCCCGAGCATATGGCCGCGTTTGGAAATACGCTAAAAGCTGGGAACTTCACACGTCCCATGCGCCTTTCCCTACAATAGCAGACTGTGGTGTTGCAAGCGGGGCAGCCCGTTCCTTCCTCGTGTGCTGGGCTAGCTCGGGTTGTCTTCACAGATTTGCCTTGTCTTTAAAGGAAAAAAATAAATCCCTACCACCTAAACTGAGGCTTTCTGGAGTTAGACCAGTTTCACTGTATTTGGCAGCTTTACGAGACTTGTGAAAACAGAAGTTGTTTGTACAGCTTCAACTTCTCGAGGGTTTTAGCATGAAATGCTGAATTTGGGGGGTTTGAGCTGGGGTTTTTGTTTGTAGCCATATTCCTCTTGGTTAAAATAACTTTGGGAAGTTGTTGACCTCGGAAGATGAAAGAGCTGGTTATATTTGGTGGAGCTGGTTATATTTGGTAGGACAACTCCACGCCCTCTCCCGAGACTGTAAAAACGAGATAGTGACTGGAGTGCAACAAAAAAATAGTATATCTAGAAAACTCTGCTTTCTGAACTAAGTGATAGGGGAGTTTAAAAAAAAAAAATGGAGAATATTCTTATGGCAGACTGTAAGAGACTGTATTTTGGGTGATTCTTTTTTATTTTCAAGAATTTTGGTAAATTTACAGGCAATTTTTAGTTTTACTTTTTTCCATCCATGTTTGTTTCACCACTTAAAACATACACTCTCACCACAGAAAATAGCCTCTTCGGAGTAATTAACAAGGTTTATAATAAACATCAAGAAGAAACTTGACTGAAAGGACTTTTTAGCACAAATGAGCTTTCCTTGTGCTTTGGCTTTTCTTAAATTCCTGAATCTCTTGAAGTTTGTTTATTTAGTCAAGGAAGGCCCCACACTTGTTTTCTGAGTGAACAAAAGAGAAGCCCTCTGTAAGGAGGGGACACTGGGGGCGGGAAAGTCAGGGGGGTCGGCAAGAGGCCCGGGATCTTTGCTGCTTTGGGGATTGTTCAAATCCTGGAAGTTCTGGAAATCTGTTTTGTGAGGTGGTAGGATCCAAAATGAGGGAGGTGGATACCTGCTGAAAAAGTTCTTGGCGGAGCAAGTTGTGCTGAAACTCTTCTTTGCCCTTGCTTGGGGAACGTGTAGGGGGGAGAGCTGAATTTTTTAGTAGCCTCAGCAAGAATTCAGCCATCCCTTTAAGCTTTTCTGCTTTTCCTGTTTACGTTGGCGATTGGGTGGAAGTGTTGTGGAGGCAGAAAACTTTTCGGAATGCTGAAAAAAATGTTTCATGCAAATCTAGTCAGTTGCTTCGAGGCTTCCGAGACTGGACACTAAGGGGCGCCAGTTGTTTCTTTTCCAGCCCAGCTCCCTGCTCGTGCGYGGCTCGAGTGGCGAAAAGCACAAATCCCACAGGAGCTAGGGACGACTCCCAAATACTTGTGGGTTGGTTCCCGTATCTCCGCTTGCATGAACTTGCCTATATTTTATATATAGACGCAGCATTGCRTAGGTGAATAGCTGTAGTTAGAGCTGAAACTTGGAACAAACGTTGACACAAAATCACAGTGGTGTGAAAGGATGTTCTTTAAAATATCTGTCCTCRTTATTAAGGGGACATTAAATATCATTATATTCTATAGTGAAGTTCTTTGGTTGTGTTTTATGGATTGCTAGAAATATCTTCAACGTTTAGAACTTTTAAGTGAGAGAATTACGTTTAATATTTTCAACAGTTGTTTTACAGTGCTTTTGTGATTAAAAATAGAAGTAACAGCAAGGTGTGTAAGTATTAAAGTAGATAAAAAGTTACCATATCCCCCCCCCTCCCCCCCCCAATTTAATTCACTTCTGGTACATAATATTGTGTTTTAAATAGGGTTTCTTTTGGTTACGACAAGTTTTCTTGAAGAGTGACTATGCTTGGGAAGAATAATATTCCTAGACAACTGTCAGCCTTTGCGTTTTATTTTTTAGTGGTCTAAATGAAGAAATAGTCACAACTGTGATATTTCAAACAAAGAAAACATGCGATTGCTCTCTCTACTACAATGCTACTTTTTTTCCTACTTCACCCCAGTATATACAAAATAAGGAATGGATTTGTCAAGTGAGTTGAAYGATATATGTGATCCATCTAGGCTCTAATGTTTGATCTTTGGAAATCGTCATTCTTAATTTAGTAGAAACTCTCTGCTTTATGGTGTTTGAAAACCAACATGAATACAAGCGGTGTATGGAGGGKTTTTTTGTTGTTAAGAACCACTTGAAAAAAAATATGAAAGTTACAGTTTTGTTTAGATTATAGATACCTTTGCATACGTGTGCTTTTAACTTCTTGTGTGTAAATAGGGCTTTTGTGGATTAACAAGGATGTTTAAAGTGCACATCATAATGACTAGGAAGTTGGATTGTTTTTATCAGGCTAGTGCAAACCTGTGGGAAGAGAGGGCTCTTCCTGAGTGTGGAATAGTCTGTATTTCCTGCCATTGTTTGCACCATCAAATGTGACCTGATTTTTTTTTTTTATGCTTCAGCTTTTCAGATACTAGATTTCATGATTCTAGCATAGTTTTTTTGATCAACTTCTGTATTTTGCTGATTTGTTGGTCCACATTGTGCAAAATGAATAAATTGTACCTTTTATTATTTTTTTTTGAAAGCCTATATTCCARCCTTGTAAATTAACACATTATTTTGTCTAGTTTTATTCTCTCTGCAGGTTATGAACAGATATTCCCAGGTTATTCAGAGATCTTTAATAGTGTATTCTTCTACAAAAATAGCAAGCAGCATCTCATCCCCAAACACGAAATATTTAAAAAAAGTGGGCTTTAAAGAAAAGAAAAATTTAACCAACATGGTCAGCGATATACTGGCCAGAGTTGCTTGCTATGTAATACGTTACCAACAAGCRTCAACGTTATTTGTTGTCGTGTTTTTAAAATTTTGTATTTATTCTATAAGTCTTTTATTCTTTTTAACCTATAGCTAGCCAAAAAGTTATGTTTGGCTGGAATGTGCAGGGCATCTGTGGTCCAGTCCTTTTTTAGGAGGTATTTATGTAAGCTTTGTCAGGAATTCATTCTTTTCTGTAAACTACCTCAAACTTTAKCCTTTGTATCAACTAAGCTGGTGTTGAAAGCAGTGTGCTTTCAAGTTCTTGTATGCAATATATGCAAGTTCTTGTATGCATTATATATACATACCTCTACATGTAATTTAAGCCATGAATCTAGTTTTTAAGGTAAACCCAAGTAATGTCAAATGGGCTGCCTCCTTCTGCACAGCAATTGTAAGRAGGTAACTGTTAAAATCTCTAGTGAGGGATTATGGAGTGTTGAACCTACTGAGCCCAGTGCCTTGAACTGCAGCTTTGCTCTTGGTCTCATGGACTTCAGCTGATCTGTCTGCATAAGTAAGGACTGAGGAACTATGTTCCAGTGTTGTAAATAACTTCACCCTCAGAAGTAATCTAGCTACTTTTGTACGTGACCTTATCATTTGTGATTATGTAAAGTTAGCCGGTATTTAGCTAGGGTTTTGCTGACCTGTCACATTTGATGAGGGGGTGCYGGGCACACTAACATGTCATTCCCCCGCCCCTCAGCCCCCTCGGCTGGGTGATCCAGTATAAAACGTTATTTCCTTACAAACCAATGCTTCTCGGAGGACCCCTTGGAGCAAAGTTAAGAGGAGACAAACTCTGTTAAACTAAAAGCCTCGTGATCTGTTTTTGCCCAGAGACTCTTGGAATATTTTGAATAGTAATGTTAAACTTGCACAATAAAAGCAGGCAGCAAAAGCATTTTTTTGTACTGTTGTGGTAGCGCTCCTTTGAATTTTCTGCTTTCTTCATCCTTAAGTCTTAGAATAATATTCTGAGGCATTTCCTGATTCACAATTATGGTGTTATAACAGTGTTATGGAGCCTCTTGTGCTTCTATTATCAAAAACTTTGTAAAGTTGTTCTAATTGTGTAGGTTTTTTATTACTATTGTTTTTTATTTCATGGCCTCTTACAACACCAAAAACAAAAGCTGCATTGCGCATCTCAGGAAAAAAGAGGCTCATTCTTTAGCTTAGGGAAGAATATTCAAAACTTTTTATTTTTTATTTTCTTTGA